TAAAATTTATTATTTAAAAAAAATTATACTAATAAGAAAGATATTAGTTGGCTAACGTATTATTTGGGTCCAAAAATTCTGTTATTTTCTTTTCAGAATCTCAGATTATTCATGTCAAATTTTAAGAAGACAACCTATACTACCGGACAATTTTCTTAATTGGCTTTTAAAATTCCTCTTTGTGAACCACTTACACTTAACATATAAAGAAAGTGATAAATCCTTGTTTTTGGAGGTTTTTCAGCATAATTCTAACCTTGGATAAGAGTACAGTTACTCTCACTATTATAAAGAGATAACTGAGAACAATAACAGCTTACTTCTAAAGACCTCTTGCTGCTACCTTCAGCAGCCCTTACATTAGCAATTGTAATCCTGGGAGACACAGAGGAGAACTACAAAGAGAAACTTTAAGCCTTGCCTAGAAAGAACATGCCTCAGTTTGAAGCAGGAGTTACAAAGGAAGCAATAATTTATTATTGATTATTTTTGTGTCTTCTCTCAGTGAATTATTTGGTGAGATTGACTCAAATTCTTTTTTTCCCCTCTAAAGTAGAAGTTAAGAAATGAATTCAAGAATTCACCGTGAATAGGTGGGATTATACAAGCCCCTATTTTGTGAACAACAGATTTGACAATATACAGTGATTATATTTTATATCAATGTACTTCCTTAAAAATATGGTTTGATATTTATGTTAATTGATTTTTAAAGTACTTTTTTCCAATTTACCATTAGAGTCAGACTTATTTTTATTGTAATCAGGAAGGGGTGAAAGGAAAATATGGGATTTGAGGTCCTTGAATCTATCTAGCACAGTGATTTATAGAAAGACAAGACTTCTCACTGCAACTTTATATTGATTGAATGAATTCCATTAGCACTTTTCCTCATTTTTGCAAGAATCATTTAGATCCAAAAGCTGGGAGAAATATGTTGCATTTTGGAATAGTAGAAACATGAGATTTTAACATAGAGACGTGAGTTCAAAACCTATTTATCTGTCTCTGGCTAGTTCCCTAGGGGAAAAAAAATCCCTGAGTTAAATGGAGCAATAATTCTTTATATGTAAATGAAACAGTAATAATATTCAGCCTATGAATATATGAAGCCCATAAGTGAAACTGCATATAACATACCTTTAAGGACTGAGTCTATAAACTGACTCAAGTCTGTGAATTGATTGGGGACATAACTATTTAATGATTCAAAGTAGACCTTTGTACCTTTCCTAGAACTCTTCCACTTACACAAATTGAGGAAGAATTTAATGAACTTTGCATCTATTCACTTCTAAGAACATCATGATTAACTAGTCAACACCACATAGATGTCTGAGAGTTAGACTATCTGTCTGCTACTTTGACTCTTCTTTCATTATGGTAACCGTGGTCACCTTGCTTTGACAACTGAAGATAGCCAGTTGGCCTGGGATCCAATTATCACCATTGCATTTAGATTTTCCAATTCAGTGACAACATTCCCTCCTACAGAGAAAAGTTATCATAGAGACATGCTGATAATATCAGAGACACTAATAACGTTATAAACATTTTACTATCATATTAGCTATGTAAGTTACTGGAAGAATTGTTAATGAAACATAAATTTATCAGAACAAGAAAATATGTAACTATATATATAATACATATATATAACTATATATACAATATATATACTATATATATATATAAATACATTATAAAATACAATGTATATTATAGGGCCTCCCCTGGTGGCGCAGTGGTTGTGTGCTGAGCTGCGTAGCTGCCGGCAGTCTCTGCAGCTCCAGTTTGATCCCTGGCCGCCAGCAAGGGTCCCACATGGTGCGCAGACCTCTCCTGCCACGCCTGCTGCTCCCCTCAGCAGTGTATTTTGTCAGTCTGCCTGTTCTTTTCCCCACTCTGGCTCTAGTGAATTCTCTCACCCTCCCACACTTCTGACTGTACCCAGTGCTTGTATAAATAAATAAATAAATCTTTTTTAAAAATACAATGTGTATTATAAAATACACAATATGACACTTCTTTGAAGTGCTTGTTAAAAATACTGATTCTGGAATTTCAATTTAATTGTTCTAAAACAGAGTGTATCACCATTGCAGGTTAAGTCAGGATCTGCATTTTTTGCAAGTTTCCCATTTTATTTTGGTGCATGCTAAATTTTGAGAATAGTTTCTGCAGAGTATGTTGAAAAGTACTATCTCCATTTCCACAGTCCAAAGTTGCAATACTTTCAGGGGGTTTTCATTTCAGAATTGATGAAGAGAAGACTAAATTTTTAATGACTGAATCACTCTAAGACAGAGATAAGGAAAGGTCAACTATCTGTATTGCATACATATTCTCAAACTAGTTATATTTTTAGCATGTGACCAAAGAGTACCCAGCAACCCTCAAACTTCCATGCTCTAAAACTATTGATAGATGTTGTCATCCACCTTATAAAAACAAAGGAGACTCTTAGTATAAGATAATTTTAATAGAATTATTGTGCATAGAGAGAACAGAAAAGAAAGACTACTTTTTTCCAATAAAACACACAAAGTTACCCATCCCCTTGTGGGCAAATCCCCAGGCAAACAGTCAGCCCAAAGTGGGGCCAGTAAGGCCTGAAAACTTACCATAAGTTGAAGGCACCTTCTGGAAATGACCCATGAGAAAGTTCTGAAGCACATCCCAGAGAGCTAAGACAAGGAGACACCACATCAAGATAGCAGCTGCCATTGTCAGCCTCCCCTTGTGTCTCTCCTCCATGTGTGTCTTTCAAGTGTCTCCACATGTCTCTCCTCCATGTGTTTCTTGCCATGTCTCCTTCCCATCAGTACCAGGGTGCAAATTAGGCCACAAAAGCAAGAGCTCTCCTTTAGCCTACCTGTCTTCCCTGTTCTGTAACTTCACCTGGCCAGTAAGGTCTGCCCGTAATTCCCAGTAGCTGGACCAAGGTAGCTGCATGTAAATGGCGGCAGGAAATATGATTCCTTTGGCAATATATGTGTAAAAAATACACATATGCTATAAACATTATGTACCGTGCATTTCTAGTAAGTTGTAATTAATTCTTCTAACCAGGGAACTGGAGCTAAACATCTGAGTTTGACTAAAGGAAATATTTCCTAACCTTGTAAGAGTCTCTTCTTCTGATTCTCCATTTCTGTATTGTCTGTTCTCTCCTCTATTCTATTTATATTTCATATGACAGAATGTTCACTCTTTATATGAAGCCCTTTAGTATATACAGATAATTCTTATGTCTTTATTGGCAATTGCAAATATTTCCTTGATCTCAACATTACCAGATCACAATGTTAGTTTCTGGCTCACTTTGAGAAGGACACATTGACAATTCTAAATATATATTGTATCCCAAAGCAAGAACCATGGAAACACACAACATATATAAGAATATAAAGCATACACAAGAATATTCTTCAAGTAAATTAAGTTGGAAATAAAACACTGTATTAAAGATGAGAAATACACAATGTTTCCTCTGATACTGCTATTGTAGCTTTTTGTTTTATCAACTTCATATGCAAATTAAGTAACACAGTAAAATGGGTTTCAAACTGAAAAGCATGACAAAAATGTAGTATGTTAATCTGCCTTAGAACCACAGCTATAATTACTTCCTTGCTTATCTGCAGTTTGCATTTATAAAAATTTAGATAGAATCGGACATCAGAAGAATTCATTATGAGGCAGGATGTTCAACTCCTCATGGCTTCGCTTTAGACTGATTGTTATAATACCAAACATGTTATTTATAGACTCACGGCTTAGAAACATTAGTTTTAGTGTATCAAAAATGGTTTTTGAAGGTTCTTGTTTTTGCATCAAGAAAAGTCCTTGGAAGTTCTCATTCTCATCCTACAACAACAAAAGGAACTTCACAAACACAGATCCAATTACTTTTTTGAAGACCCACTGGAGAGACAATCAAATGCCAGGTCACAATTTAGATCTCCTTACCTGCTGGAAGCTGAAAGTGGACTAAAGTAAGAATGAGAAACACCTGGGGCTACAGTTTTTGGTGGGTCCATTTTATTGTTGGTTGGCATCCAAGACCGCACAAGATGCTTGTGGTAAAGAGCCAGAAAAGTTCTAGTCAGAACACTTAGGGAGAGGAGAATTTTGAAACATATCTAGGACATCCTCCAAAACAAAAGACTACTTTATGAAGGAGAAGACTTTAAAAGCTTTATTACCTCAACAGGAGAAGGACATTTATCACTCTTTTGCCCCTTCAAAGATTCCTATTCCATCTAACTGGGGATAAAAACTACCGTAAAATTCATAGCCCAGGGGTCCAAGCCCACTAAAGAATGAAATTTAGTCATAAGATTATAGAATGCTTCCACTTCCCCAACTTCACACTCACATCAACAGGGCTTACAACTACAAGACCTGCAAAACATAATCTCTGGGGCTTCCCTAGTGGTGCAGAGGGTTAAGTCTCAGCATTATGAAGCTATCCACAGCCACTGAAGCATGAATTTGATCCCTGGCCAGGGAGGTGACCCACATGTTCCCCTCAGCAGTATATTTCAGTCAATCCGCCTATTCTATTCCCGACTCTGTCTCTGGTCAATCCTCTCACTCCCTGCACCTCTAGCCAGTACCCAGTTCTTGTATGCATAAATAAATCTTTAAAAAAAAAAAAAAAACATAATCTCTGAAAAGTACTTAGCAAAGTCCACAACCCTCAGAGAACATATCCTAGAGGAATTTGAAGCCTCACAACAACATAAATATAACAAACATTCGATACAGCACAACTCCTAGCCAGAAGAACAAATTTAATGCCACTGTGCATTCAGCTGTCAACAAAAAATATTTGTATATTGCTGTCATTGCTTTTAATTAACTCTTCTTTCTTACCTATATAGATATCTCTAAACACATGGATGGTAAGAACATATTTTACGCTACACTTTTGTAACAGCGTGATATCCATAGAAAGGGGAGGTTTCCAACTTCCCTTCCCCACCCAAGAAAGATTGGAGCTGAGCATCCAGGAGAAGCTAGAAAAGACTGGGAGAAGGACAGAAGGTAAAAAGTAAAGGAGGAAGACTGAGAAGGAAGACTTGGAGAGAAAATATGGAGCAGAGATATGTGATGAATCTGTGTTTGCTTCTTGGCCTTGGACTTGAACCAGGGACATGAAAGGAGACACTTGAAAAAAACAGAGACATAGGTGAGAAACCCATGGGAAGTTAATAAAGGCAGCCTTTACCTTGACTTGTATTTTGATTTTATCTTTTTCTTCCAGACTTGCCTGGCACCTTCTGCCCCTTTTTTATAAATTCCTACCACAAGGTGCCTTAGACTTGTGGCAAGATTTTGGGCCCCAATTGCCCTGCTTTGGGCCAATCCTATTTGACTGGCCATTTACTCACGAGGGGATGGATAACTTTGGGTGTTTAATTGGAAACTAGTTTAACTATATCTTACTTTTCTCTCTATTACACACTAATCATATTAAAGCTCTTTTACTAAAGGTCTTGTGTAGGAGAGCATTTTGTCTTTATGTGGTGAATGACAGAACCCATTGAGAGCAGTCAGGTTTGGGGGTCCTGGGCCACCCCTCATTCTGCCCACTAACAGTTTTACAATAGTGAGAGAAAAAGAAGAGTACCTCAGAGTCTCAAAACATTTTGATTGACTTTATTCCATTTCAGGTAAATTGAGTTTGTTAATCAGTATTATACACACAGTTGCTTCGTTTCTTACCTTTTATTTATGTTATTGACCTTCTTATAAATCTTTGTGGAAGAAAAAAATAAGTTTTCTTCTGCCAACGCACAAGATTAATAAGTTACTCCTGCATTCAAGGGAAAAAATATCAACTAGAAGTAAAAATCCATAAAATCTGAGCTTTAGAAAAAGCTCAGCAAGTCAGCTGACTGATGTTTATTCTCACAGGGTACAGATCCTGATGGTAGTTGACAAGTCCACAGAGTTGACATTTATGAAAATAGCAACAAAAGTACATATAACCAATTCAATTTATTCTATTGTTTTCTTAATTAAAAGATCAACCTGGAAAACCAAAAATACAAACAGTAGCAACCAAAGCATGGGATTATTAATATGTCATGTGTGAAAGAGTCAGAGCAACTTTGATAAATATAGCATAGTGACACTTTATAAACTGAAAACTAGAGTAGTTACTGTAGTCTAAAAATAATAAATGCCAAAATCTGGAAAAACAACACTGTGATGAAATTGTTAAGACTTTAGTACTCTCCAAATTATATTTTCTATTGAATCTAGCTTTTCATAATTTCCTAGCAAATATATAGTACCCTTCAAAGGCTGAAAGAAATGTGTTAGAGAAAGATAAATTTCAGTTGAAATACTTTACAGGCATACAAATAATTGCAATACTGACAACAGCAACATTAGTTAACATGATTCATATGGTTGGTCCAAGAAAGTACTGATTTGTTCATGTTTCCTGACTTAAATATTTGTATCACCTCATTTGACTCTAAGAAGTAACTTAGGAGAACCTCTGTGATTTTCCTTACTACATCATCTCACTCCAAATTTAGCCCTTCCTCTGGTGCTATAAATACCCTAAGCTTATGGCATGAACTTTTTTCCTATGGCAGACACCCCTCTGCTTCCTGTCACTGGTCAACATTTCTCATGCCTCACATTACATTTGAAACAGTCCTTCCTGAAGGAGGCTTTCTTTGATACTACAGCCTGAGGTCCATATTTATTCATTAGTTCCCCTTTTCATTGCTCTAAGAGCTTTTATTTTCCTTTTGTAGTTTTATCACTTTAGGGATAGTCTTTAATATCTACCTTTTTTTCCAGACTGCAAGTTCCATACAGACAAGAATCATGCCTTCTTTGTAAACCCTTTTTTCCTGGTTATTGGCAGAATGATTGATGCATAGGAAGAGTTTACAAGTAACAGTCAAATATATTAATGGCATTTGTAAAGAGTACCCTGATCTCCCTCATACATGAAGGAACTGAGGTTCAGGAAATGTAAATTTCTCATAATCACATTCCCAGTAAAAAAAAAATCAGATTTCAAATCTAAGCATGCCTAAATTCAAAGCCTGTGCTTTGATACTTATATGCAATAAACTTAATTTACATTATGCAGTTATTGAATTTAATCATGTAACAGCCATACTCAAGATATAAAACATTTCCAAAACCCAAATAGTTCTCCGGTACCTCTTTGGAGTAAATCCCTTGTACCCTTAAATGGACCTCAACTGACATGGATTTGTCATGAGAGAAAAAATTTCTTTACTAGAATTTCATGTAATAGGGATCATACATTATATGATATTTTATGTCTAACTTTTATCAGTTAGAGTCATCCAGGTTGTATGTAGTTTATACTTTTTACTGTTGATGGGTATTCCATTCATAAATTTTTCTTTTTTGTTGATTAATATATATTATATTTAATGATATATAACAATATATCATTTAATTTGTCCATTAATCTGTTGTTAGACATTATTTCAAAGTTTGAACACTTGTGAATGAACCTGCTATAAATATTTATTAACAAATCATTCTATGGAGGGCCTCCCTGGTGGCGCAGGTGGTTGAGTGCCACACTTTGAAGCTGTTTGCAGCCTCTGCAGGGGGGGTTCCATCCCAGCCAGGTGGCAAGAATCCCACATAGTGCAGCAGACCTCTCCTAACTCACCTACTGCTCCCCTCAGCAGTGTATTTCAGTCAGTCTGCCTGTTCTGTTCCCCACTCTGTCTTTGGTGAATCCTCTCACCCTCCCACACATCTAGCCTGTACCCCAGCTCTTGTATAAATAAAAATAATAAATCTAAAAAAAATCATTCTGTGGATATGCATTTTTATTTTATCTTAAATACCTAGGAGTGAAAGAGCTGTTTTATATTAAGAATATGTGTAATTTTACAAGAACCTGCAAAATGTTTTCCAAAGTGAGCATAGCATTTTATACTCTTTTAGTATGAGATTACAAATTGTTCTATACCTCAGTTTTAAGTGTGATTACTGTATTGTTTGCTTCATAAGAAGAAACACATAAAAAGATTTTAGAGATTGCTGATGTGTAAATCCAGTGCATCTGAGAGAAGTGGTATGATCCGGTAGCATTTGAAAAGTCAATTTAGCTATAGAATTTACATGGAATTTCTATGAAGGATAACATTTTACTCCTTAATCAAGCTTACTCTATATAGTCCATTAATCCTTTATTAAAATCTCATTCAGTTACATTTACTGCAACAGCAACAAAGTAAATTATTCAAATGCAATATGTACTGCACTTAGAACTGTTATTAAGGAGAAATGCTGCTTAAGATTTCATATTACAGCTTAATATACCAATGGTAATATGTTACTGTATTAGTTTGCTAGGGTCACTGTAACAAATTACCACAAACTGAATGGCATAAACAACAGAAATATATTCTGTCACAGTTCTAGATGCGGGAAGTCTGAGATCAGACTCGACAAGATTGAGTTCTTTTGTGGGGTGTGAGGAAAAATCGTTTCATGTCTCCCCCATAATTGCCGGTAAATGACTAGCAATATTTGGTATTCTTTGGCTTACAGGAGTATCGCCCCAATATTTCCTTCACATGCCCCTGTGTGTATGACTGTCTCTATTTGTCCTTTCAAGAAGGCCATCAGTTATATTGTATGGTGTTCTGAGTTAATAATTTCATTTTAGCTTGTTTATGCATATAAAACTCTACCTTCAGATAAAATCACATTCTGAAATACTGGGGATTAGAATTCAAACATATGAATTTGGGTGGATACAATTCTACCAATAATCACTATATTTGATCCAATAATGTCTGTGCATATTATCATAGTGTAAAGTAATAAGTACTTGTAATTTCATCATAATATTAAGTGAAAAGATATATGCAAGTCTCTTTATAATTGAATTGCCCTTTACAAGATTTCACTTTTATGGATTTCTTTAAAAGTAAGAATATTTCAGGGCCTCCCCGGTGGTGCAGCGGTTGAGCGCTGGTTTGCGAAGCTGCCTGCAGCCTGTGCAGCACGAGTTGATCCCCGGCCGCCGGGTGAGGGTCCCACATGGCGTGCAGACCTCTCCTGCCGCCCATTGTTCCCCTCAGCAGTGTATGGTCAGTCTGTCTGTACTGTTTCCCGCTCTGTCTCTGGTGAATTCTCTCACTCTCACGTGCTTCTGACTGTACCCAGTGCTTGTATAAATAAATAAATCTTTAAAAAAAAAAAAAGAATATTTCAGTGATAATAAATGAAGAGAAAAAGCTTTAGAACAGTTTTTCTAATAATATGCAAAGCAAAAAGAAAGTAATTTTGAAAATTTTAACATAAGTATTGATTTATTAGAGATAATAAATTGATATATATTAGATAATACTTTAAATACAATAGATATCTGTTTAGGTGTTTACTTTTTGAAACTTCTATCAATGAAATATGAAGAAGAGATGATATATAATTTGGATAATTTGGAGGGTTCAAATGTAATCATGTTTGTCATTGTCTAAGCTCTAATATTTTTATAAAAGTTATGGTAATTAAAATGGTACCCTGAAATTTCATATAATGATAAAGCAACACATGTCTAATTCTAAACTGTGTAGTTGATCCCAGAGTAAGAATTATTCTGTAGTTAGTGAAAGCAATGGCATTTACAAGTAGAATAAATTAAAGCAGATGAAGAGGAAAATTTTATTCAATGTAATACTTAGTTCACTATAGTCTTAAATGACTGTCCAGTCCATGTTCATCAATAGGACATATGGTATGTGCAAAAATATATCACCAAGCAATAACCTAATATTTCATGAGTGCAGAAATTGCTGTAATGTGAGTTTCTTTTTGACTGTGTGCCATACACAAAGTACTAAAAAAAAATGGATAGAATACAATCTTATGAAGCACTATTTTTCTTATACCTTGAATTAGAGAATTTGGTTGATTTTCTATTCCTTTGGTGTGAATGTACCCCTTCAAAATTTCTATCCCTTTAAAGATTATACATACATATTGTATCATTGTCACATCTTGGTTGTGACACTGCATGACAATCAGGTAAGATGCAAACAATGGGAGAAAATAAGACATGCACACAAGACTCCTTGTTACTATCTTTACAATTTCCCATGAATCTTCAATAATATTAAATATGTATGTATAATACATATGAACAGATATGCTCTATTTAACTTCTTTTTATTAGATATGGAATAGCTGAACTCATTTTCTTGAATACAAGAGAAGGAAGAAAAAAAAAAGACTAAGGAGAGGACCAGGAGGAAAAGGGATAAGAAAGAGGAAAAGAAGGAGGAAAAACCAACAAAATAGTATAAGTAGTATGACTGTAAAAATATAACTTTTCCAAGACTCAAGAAGATGTTTACAATAACATATTTGAAACAACAGAACACTTGAAGTTCAGCATATCAGGATGACTTGTGTACTATACATAGAAGCAAATTTGCAAATCTGTCTTCTATGCCTCTAATGTAAAAATATAAAAGTTATTAGCAACTCACTGCCCTTTGAACTAAGTATTAACATTCATCTTTTGAAATGACCTTTCACAGAACAAGAATTCCTCTTCTAGTGATCTATTTCTCTTTAACTCATTCAAATGGCTAATATTACACAGTAAATAATAGCTGTCCAGTAACAAAATTGCTACAAAATAAACTAATACATTAATCTAAAATATGTGTCAACTCAAGTTTGCAATTTAGCAACACATTATATAGGGATATCTTTATTGTATTGGTTTTCAATATAAAATACAATTTCTGGAAGTATGATTAAGCATCAATTTTACAGTTATTATGGAAGAAATGTTAGTTAAAACAGCAAATTAGGTTCATCTAAGTTAATTTGCCTTAATTTGAAAACACGATAGATGATTTTATCCCTTAAAAAACAAGTGTACATTTAATATTATGTCTAAAAATTATTGGTGTTAGAGTTTCAATATTCTAAATGAGTTCAATTGATGAGCCAATTTTTTATTGTTTCATTCAAAATAATATATATTACTTGAAATAATCTGATATTTGTTGGGGGGAGAATTATTTGTATCATAATAAGCTTATTTTTCAGTTACCTCTCCAAGAAACATTTCAGATTCCACTATTGCTTGGCAGGAAAGAGTTGCTTTCCCTCCTAGGGACACATAAAATCTTGTACATGTTTTAAATAAGCCATCCTATTGAATTATGACTACTTTGTTACTTAAGTTACATCTTATACTCAATTATTGGTGCCAACTGGGCAAGCACCTTGTCCTTTCATATTTCTTTATCTAGTGCTTCAATTATGTTAGAAGTGTTGACCCACTCTATTCCCACTTTTATATGTAAGTTGTAATTGTCTTTGGTATTTGCCCTATGACATAATAAGCAATACAGAAAGAGAGAGAAAGAATGTAAAGCATTTGAAAGATTTTCTGCTACTAGAAGTGAAGTCAGTTTTTATTATAACTCTTAATTGGAATAAAGATTTCAGCACTATATCCCTTAGCAAATATTTTCATGCACTAACATGTTTATTAAAGTCTGAATATACTTAAGAATAGTCACAATTAGTATTTGGCTGGTATACGTGATTATTATGAATGTTACACTAATTTTGGCTTTTATCCACAACAGAATCATGAAATACTGCAGAAAAAACATTGCCGCAACAGGGAATGAAGAATTTGGGGTCTCATAGAAAGTCTGAGACTCCTGAGTACAGGATACACAGGAAAGTAAAGCATCAAGTGATAATGATTGAAATAAGGTAAGGGCATTTGTGTGTGCGTAAGTGTGCATAAATTTATGTGTAGATTTTATTCTATAACTAAAAATTGGTTGAATGTTCCATAGACTATCTAAAATTCAATATGTAACTAAATCTTATTTCCCCTCTCTTGCCACTGGCAACCACCATTCTAGTCTCTAGTTCTATGAATTTCTATTCTAGATTCATACAAGTGAATTTATTTAATATTCACCTTACAGAAAAAAAATCAAAACTGAAAATCTACTAAAGGACACAAGGAACTTTTGGGGGGTAGATTGATTATGGAGATGTTTTCATATATGTATGTTCAAACTTATCATATTTTGTATTCCTTAATTATATGAAATTTTTTGTTTATCAACTATACCACAATAAAGCTGAAACTTACGTACATACACATGTATATGCATATAAATATATATCGTCCTGTCAGACAATATCTAGGTCTTTATTCCCACATTTATCTTGCCATATTCCCTCCTTGATATAATCTTTTTATGAAGTTTAGAAGTCCCCAAATCTGTTCAGAATAAAATTAAAGTTTTGCTTCAGGCTTTCAGTAATAGAGGGTATGCAAATCAAAAGAAAAGGACTTTATATTGTTATCATATACTAAAATATTGTCCTTGGTTGCTCTCATCTAGACATATAGAACTTTAGATGCACAATTGTATATATTTATGTATATATTTAAATGCATAATATATATGTACTGCATAAATGCATATATATAAGCATACTATAAATAATAAACAAATCAGCATGCTAAATATGAGAAAGTTTCTTTACATAATCATTTCTATACAATCATTATTCCAATTTTATTCTGAATTTAGCTAGGAAGTAAATTAACAATACTTAAGTCATTTTAATTCATATGGTAAGTTAATATTGATGTTTCTATTGCTATTTTTCAGAACAAAAACAGTTTAATCCACTTAACATTTTCATAATATTTGGCAGGGTGCAAGTCTACTGATTACATTTTGCTTTTACAAGAATGACATAAGTAGAATTAATGACATGAATATTCCATTGACATATTCCATCATCAAGCAATTTTGCTATACTTAAAATTCTGTTTCTGGGTATCTATAGAGTGCCTAGTTATATAAATTGCTCCTATTTGCCATCCTCACTCTTAGCTAGTTAGTGACACAACAGGGAGGACATTGAGTGATTTGACAGTGAGTAAATGAAGCCTTTATTTGTTATCTTGAAGTGGCTCTAGTGCCTTGGCCGTAATTGGAGGTTTATGACTGAATGACAGAATTGTCAAATCCATTACCAAACCTGCCAAGGAAGCACACAATTCATAGTTCGCCTTGTTTTTTTTTTTTTCTTTCATGTAACAGCTCAATTTTATAACAATATTAGTTCTCTTCAGGCAAAACATTTGGAGACAGTCACTGCACCTCTCTTGTTGTTAAAGGCACTTAACCTTTGGTCTCTCAATTTATTTTACTACCCCAGGTATATTGGAAATTCCAAAGTGGTAACAGCTGGAAATATTTGAATGCTGTAGAGAGCAAATTTGTGAAATTTAGAAGAGAATGAAATATTACCTAGTAGCAAGCTATATTAAGATGCATGTATCTGCAATTATAAATGTAGAAAAATTTAAATGACTTACCAAACACAGGACTTAGAAATCTGCATCTTGTAATTGTCAACTAATATATCCTCGAGAATTTATTAAAATTTTTATTTACATGCCTATTTGCAAGTTTGCAAACAGATTTTATTTGCAGACTGTGATTTCTCTCATTGAGAATACAAAGATTAAAAGGGAAAAAAAACCCTATAGGTAATGTACTGCTATGTGTAGTAAGAAGAAAGCAAAACTAAATGTATCCAATTTAAGAATATCAAACAAAATACATGTATTTATGTGTCACTTTCTTCACAAATGGAAAATAGAAGTAGTAGTTTGGTAAGATATGTGTGTAGAATATGTGTTAAGGCATTGGGGAGAGAGGAAGTAGCTTAGAAGAAAGCTGATAAAGTGAGGTTCTGGATTTAACACTTATTTTATTGAGATCTGAAAAACTCAAACTAAGAAGTAACATGTGAATTAGAAACAGTCAGTAAACTAATTAGTATTAGGTCATCTATATCCTAATTCACTTCTATTTTCCTACATGGGAATTTAAAGTTTTAATGATTGGTTCCAACTAGTTATGATTTTTGGTAATTATTCTATTATATAGTGGGTTGTATTTCAACAGCTACTTAGATAATATAATTTGGGGAAATTTTTTTTTAAATATTTATTTGTGCATACAAGAGCTGGGGTGTAGGCCAGAGGTGTAGGGGGGTGAGAGGATTCACCAGAGACAAAGTGGGGAGCAGAACAGGCTGAAATACACTGCTGAGGGTAGCAGCAGGCGAGACAGGAGAGGTCTGCTATGCCATGTGGGTCATAACTCATGCCACAGTGGCTGCAGATAGCTTCATTGTGCTGCGTCTTAACCTTTGCACTGCCAGGGAGGCCCCCAATTTTGGGGAAAAAATTAAATATAGAAATTAAACTAATATAAGCTATTATTAAATTTTATGTGAAAATACACAGCTAAGAGTCTACTTTCAATTAAAACTGAGAAAATGTAAGACAGCTTCACTTACATACTAATATCAAAATAATCTACTTCTAAATTAACCAAACTATATGGGTGATCAGAAATAATTCATTCATTTCCCACTTCAACAGATAACAAAGCACAATAATTCAAAAGATGTATCAAATAGTTTAATTTCAACTAATACTTATAAGAAAGCTTCAATGTGTATTTTGGTAACCTAAATAGCACATTTTCAATGTTAAGCTTTTATTCCTGAAATAGAATATTTCTGAGAGAATTTGTAAAGTTTTATACCTCAACAGTCAATTTAGTTATAATGTTACAGGGCAGGGAGGGGGCAGCCCAGACCCCGCAAACCTGCCTGCTCTAAATAGGTTCTGCCATCTGCTTCATCAACAAGAAACATATGAGACTTTAATGGGAAGGAACTTTAATACAACTAAGAAACAATACAGGAAAGGCAAAGAATCTAGTTTATAAATCAAGCACCCAAAGTTACCTGTCTCCTCATGGGTAAAAGTCCAACCAAATGGGGTTGGCCCAGAGCAAGGCCCCAAAGCCTGCCACAAGTCTAAAGCATCTTCCAGTGGGGACCCACAGAAAAGGATCAGAAACCACCAGACAATTTTGGAAGGAAAAGAGCAAAATCAAAATCAAGATAAAAGCAGCCATTGTCACCTCCCCACGGGTCTCTCACCCATATCTGTGTCACCCAGTCCACGACCAAAAGGCAAGCGCAGTTTCTTCACGTGTCTCTCGGCCCCATGTGCCTCCTCCAGGTCTCCTTCTGGATCTCCATCCTGCTTCCTTCCTCAGTCTCCTCTGCAGCTTCTTCTCTCCCTGCTCAGCTCCACCCTCCATTTGGGTGGGGCAGGGAACTTGGAACCTCCCCCTTTCCTGGGGACCACCCTGTTACAGTAATACAATTTAAAGAGTACATAATAAAATGTTTTAGAGAAAAAAAAAAACAGACTGCAAGACCCAAGAACTTATTGGAACTATCAGAGATAACCTTTATAATATCTGCATTTTCTATGTTGAAGTAAATAGAAAACAAGACAGAAAATTTTACTGGAAAACTAAAATCCCTTAAAATAATTAGAAGAAATTTTAGAAATTAAATAGCAGATAATGAAATTAAGATGTCAACAGGTAAATATAAATAAGTATAAACTATGCAAAAAATAACAATAGGAAATCTAGTAGGGGTATATATATGTAAACTAATATGTAAGGAAAAAATAATATAAAATATAGGAAAGAAAGAAAAAGAACTAAAGGGTTCTGAAGCAATACTCTTGAATAAAACAGACAACATTGTATAAATGTTCTATTGTGAACTTTCTAAATAATTAAAAATAATTGATCTAAAAAAAGGCAAGAGATGAAAACAGGAAGCAATAATATATAAAATAAATTTCAATGGAGTAGGTGTAAATGAAGTATAATTACATTAAATTTAAATTCATTATATACTCCAATTATAAAATCAAATTGCACACTGTTTTATCTGGCCTAGTACTGAAATGGCTTATGTATTTGTGATTTTTCTAAATTTTGTTTAACTCAGAAATCTTAGCCTTGACAACCTATAATATTGACAGTCACAAGAACTATCTTTACCTTTTACATTCCCAAACTATCTTCTCCTATGTTTTTATGACTTTTTTCAATGATTGTTAACTTTCCTAAAAATATGCATATTAAAATAAGGGATGGAGGAAACTGTGATTTGCCTATAAAATGAAAATGCTTCTAAATGTGGTGTTAAACTGATGCTTTAATTAACTATTTATGCTTGTCAGATCCCCAGGCCTAGGCCTAAAACATGTTTTGAGAACCAACACATTGTTGGCTGAATTTTTAAATAAAGCTTTGCCAGTACATCAAAGCAAAGCAAATCACACATACTAAGTGTTCAAAAGAAAGAAAAAAATGAGAACTTGTCTCTTTATGTCTCAGATGGATTTTTTTTTAACAGTCCATTCCTTCTGATGCTCTACATTAACAACAATTATTTTTTGCCATTATTACTTCTAAAATAATTTTTAATCACACATCTGTTCTATCACTGTCTCACAGAAATTAGCCCAAGGGCTCTAAACTTAACTTCTAAAGTTCTAAAGTGGTTAAACAGCTAATTAATTTTACAGGAAGATAGCAGTTGTTCTGTGGATGATATTTTCTGTTGTATGTGAAAGTCAGATAGTTTATAGGCCAAGCCTGTTAAAGAGTGCTTAAAAAGTCAAATTTTGTTAAATGCAAAAGTACATAATTAGCACTTAAATGCTGCAGAAATACAAGAAAGTATTACTCCAACATCATCAAATTTATATCTCTGTTAAAGATGCTAACTTTGCATTTCCTCTTCACATTAGCAAAATAATTAAGCTTTGCCTCAAGGAGTCAACAATT